CTCACACTTAATCAGCTTTCTAATCAGAATGTAAAGACAAATTATCTCCCCACTATTCCCACAATCCACTAAACTACCCAAGCAAGAAAAGAAAAGAAAAGAAAGAAAAAGAAATAAGATTAAACTGACTAACCCCCAGTTTTCAAGATGCTTACAAAACAATTTCTTTTATTATCTGCTCTAGCCTCTTTCCAAGTTGGTGATGCCAGATGACAATTTCTTTTTTCCTCCTTTTTGAAGAGATGGACAACATTTGCCCTCCTCTAGTTCATCCATTTTCCAGGCTATCTCAAAGATAACGGATAGCTAGTCCATCTGCAGTTAGCTTGCAATCCATCTGAACTCAGTTCTGAATTCATATCTGAATTCATTCAAGGTCAGTAGGTATTCCTTACATATCTTTCCATCTAGCTCCAAGTCCATTCCTGGAACCACCTCTTCAGAATTGCCCAGTATACCATATATCTTCAGAGGTGAATGAGCCAAAACAGGAGTTGAATAGTTACAAATTTTTTATTGTCTGTTAGTTTTTTGCCCTGTTTGCTGAGCACAGGATTGGAACTAAGTGGGATAGTCTACCTAAAAAGCAAGCATTAAACAATGCCTTCCTTTCCATGACTTTACAGAGAAAATAGCTTTATAATCTTGATAGAACTTCATTCTAACTTAACAGAAAGTTAAGCCCCACTGAACATAGTAGAACTTTGGAGTAAACATACATAAAGAATATTTATAGCCACTTATATACAATGTAATTTCTTGTACATATAAAGTTGTACTGTTTAACAATTTTGGAAAAGATTTAAATAGGTGAAATAACTGCTTATTAGCAACCTGTAGCCAAATATCTGAGTGATATCTGCCACTGAGTTTTCTGTGTGCATATATACCATCTGTACTGGTACAGATGTGGAAATTCTTCAAAAGAGGTGTTTTGGAACATGCAGGATTACTTTAAAAACAAAACAAAACAGGAACATATTTTTCTAAGCTTTAACAATTCAAACTGTCTGTTCCAAAGTACCTCTTTGGTAATTTCAAGATTTGCACAATGCTACTAATTTGTAAGGTCCATGGATAAAAAAGTAGGGATTTTCTTATTGGCCTTATCGGGGTGGGGGTGGGGACTGATTCAGGTAATGCCTAAAGAGCAAGCATGATGCTGGGAAGGGAAAAGAATAAAACCAAAACTAAAAGATATTCTGATAAATTAAAGAAAAAGGAAGAGATGTACATGATAATGCTATTTTTAATACCTGAACTGTTATAACTCATACAAGAAGGCACAAAATGCTACTATTTCAACTAATTTTAATGAGTTGGCTTGAATATTGGCAGAAAGCTCTTAATGGTACAAACAGTTCAACAATGGAACAAAAAAATTAACAAAATGATGTGTTATCTGGAGGTCGTCAAGCAGAAGTTGTGCAGTTTAGCTCTCGGTTCCTGAACTGGGTAAGAGGTAAAAGAGATGACAGTTACAAGTCTTCTTGAACCTATGATTCAGTGTTCTGAAGAGCAAATGGGATATGATAAAAATGCCTATGAACTTATCAGAACAGTGGCCATATTACTGGCATATTAAAGGGCTATTCTTGGCTTATGAAAGGAAGCACTCTGCTTTAATTTATTGCACACTTCTACCTTAAAAAGTGTATTTTTTACTTAGTTGTGATACAGAAACTGAACCAGGCAGGGAAATATTACTTAAAGCAATGAGGTACATCAAGATAAGGCAAGAAAGGCTGTATTTTACTTTTTTCTCTCTGCACGATCCTCCTGCAACCAAGGCAGAAAGGAAAAAGGAAAGAACTACTCTCAAACAATAGAAAATAAAAGAGAAATGCACTAGAACACATATTACCCAAGTAATACTTTAATTCAGCCTCTTTTAATGTTGATGGAGACTAATTAAACCTTAACCAGTTTGTAGGAGACTTTTTCTCTCAGTAGATGTCACAGAATTGAGGAGAATTAGTCTTTCCCTCTCTCAAAATGACCAGTTTTCAAAATACCCCAAAATACTCCTGCAACAATGAAGTTTTAGAATATTTCCTTCAACATCCATAGAGGCTAAAGCCCTGTAACCAGAGAAACTTGCATCCCCAATCAGCTGATTTGGAGGTAAAGTTTTGTCCTTCCCATACTGCGGAAAAGCCAGAGGACTGAAAAGCGGACTCCATAAGGAACCATGTTATGTTTTCATGCTTCTTGTATAAACAATCTCCATTACAACTAAAACCTAATGTGAACAAGTGAAACTATAGGAAATGATATAAAACCAGAAGCCAACATAATCTAGAGTTTTGGAAAGGCTGGAGGAATAACCATTAAGTTCCTAAACTGTAAGATCCAAGAAACAGCAGAAGAAACTGGAAAAAATGAGATCAATTTTATCATTTTGTCCAGTAATACAAAATGACTAAAACTCTTCCCAGCATTTTAAGCCATTTTCGGCTCATTTGAGACTTGGACATGAACACATCATAAATCAGAAGTACAACGTGCCAGTTCTGATAGCTGAAAGTGTTACTTTGAAACAAAGATAACCGCATACTTTACACAAAATAAACCTATCGTGCCTAAGTACAGTATCCTTGGCCGCATCTCATGAAAAAAGCTACGCAATGAATCTTAGAAATTAAATATAGTTACAATTATTTATTTATTACATATTTATTACTCAAAAAGTAAGAGACCTACAAGGTACAGTAAATAAAAACTACAAAACCTTTTGCTGTATGAAAATGAGAATACAATAAGAAATGCATTTGAAAGATTTTGAATAGTGTATTATTTCACTATAAAGAGTAGAGGAATGTATCCATTTTCCTACAACCCAGTTCTTGCATAGTTGGTCTGTTTTAAGAAGAACAATATTAAAAATTACATTTAATTATATTGTATCACATAAGTAATGAATCTCTACTACTGTAGCAACAAACTTACAATAAACAAGCAACCTTACGTTCTACATTAAGCCAGTAATTGTGCTAATTTATTTCTCTTTTATTTGTTAAAAATCAGCTGTGAGAACTGTTGATTTGACAGGTCCATAATAAAGGAGAGTTGAATCCTTTGCCTCTCCCTGTGATTCTGAATCAATTTAGAATTATATAAATAAAGGTCTTTTTCAGTATTGATCTCATCTCTAAAATTTTGTTAGAGGCTAATATTTCTGTGCCCCAAAGATTATTACTATTTATGCACTTTTCCACAAGAGAAAGTATTTATCTTTTGTTTTCCCCTGTCCTGTGATGATTACGTTGTTTCCAAGTACAGATCTGATGTGTGGCTTTTAACAAGCACAGCATGTCTGCTTTCTATATAGCTATGTTTATTTATCTTTATAGATAGTACCCAATATAGATTCCTATATTATACTGTACTATATATACAGTCACAAATGTATTCAAAGTTCCTTTATTTCATTCATAACTCATAAAATCTTTAAAGACACAATCAAAAGGAATTTAAAGAAATCATAATGATCTTTGGTTCATTAAACAACACATTATATATAAATCCTAAAAAATTCCAAACTTCAAAATAATTGCCGTTCCCAAACAATTTCATATCAGATACCACTAAGCACTTAGACAGGGATCCATTATGATTCTAAAAGACAACAAATCCAAAGTCCAAAACTCAACTATTATTTGTGTGAAATAGATCTTAGTCTAAGGCCCTGCAACTATAAGGATTTCTTATACATCAGCAAAAGTGCTGTGTCCTTCTTCTTCCTCTCTTCTTCCAAGCCCCAAAGGCCAACTGAGGAAACCACCATGTCAGGCATGATTGCAACTATACTTTAGTCCACCCAAACTCTTCAAGTGCAGGCAGGCAGGCAGGCAGGAAGGGAGGAAGGAAGGAAGGAGTGCAAATATTGCTGTCTCCTAAGGTGTGGAGAAATAAAGAACAGAAAGCTAAGAGTCTATGTGCCAGAAGAAAAGATATGGTGTGTTTGTTGGAAAATAAAGGTGGAGAACCTAAGAATGTAAAACCCCCAAAGCCACTTCTTCCAACTTGGCAGCATCATTGTAAAGATGCTTGTGTCTATACTAAGCTCTGATGTACAGAAATGAGACATCTGAGTATCATCCACATATTGATAACACACAACCCATGAACATTCAGAAGTTTCATATTTATTTTAAACAGCATGATAGGTAAAATTATAAACTCAGTATAGCACAATAACAAAAAATCCATGACAAGCATTTAGCACCATCTTCTGAAATCTATTAGCCATACAGAAACAGAATCGCTAAACAAAAGGGCCTCCAACTTGCGATCAACAGGACGCCACATGTAACATATCAAAATCACAAAAAAGCCTGACAGTTTCATAACATGGATTCCGCTAGGGTGGTCAAAATAATTTCTGGTCAGACTGAAATGTGTCCAAGACATCAATAACATTAGTCATATTCAGAGCTGATCCCTCACCATCTGCTTGTCCTCTCCAAGCTATTTTATTCTGTGCATAACCATCGAGTATGTGTATTGTCTGTGTTGCAGTTAAGAACTGAGTCACATAAAGTTCTTACCACAGAATGCTCTGTTCTGAAAAGACCTGTTACAAGTACTTTATTAGCTGATACTAAAGAACTACACTTTACCTGACCCACTTTATGATGTGTATAGTAGTATGCAAATAGAGTAACTTATTTGCCACATAATAAACACTAACCATACGTCCAATAATCACGCGCTTCCACATTTAAGAACATGTGTACACTGGACATCAGCTAACATATATGCAACAGGTATCACATATGCAACATAAAGCTTTCATTTTCACTCCAACCACAATGTTTCTCAGTGCAGGCAGTTCACTTGTGAGTGTTTAAGAGTCTGTTTTATATAAATGTTTGTTTGCACATAGTCCTCCAATGGCCATAAGAAGAGTTAATGATGATTTATGGATGCAATACTATTGCGATACATTATCATCCTGTACAAAAGATTCAGAAAGCATAAGTATTGTGGCATATTACCTTATATACATGGATAGGAATATCTATGATGATGTAGATGAGATCTCCCAAGGCCAGGCTAGCTATCAGTGCATTGGGTCCATTCCTCATGCATTTGTTCTGGTAGATTATCCGCAGAAGAGTTGCATTCCCAACAAGCCCAATGATGAACACTGCACAAGAAATTACTGTATTGATGTATTTAAAAGTATCACCAATTCTAGGACTGTGTGGACAAGCACTGTCATTTCTGCTGGGTTGACTGGAAGGAGTAATTAATTTATGTTCTATTCCAATGACAGAGATTCCAGAGTCATTCAGGCTGGAAAAGTCTCTTTCAGAACTTTCACTGATGACAGATCCAGTTACAAAAAGTGCCAAGATTATCCGGAAATGAAATGTTTCCATTTTCAAATCTTCAAAATCAAGAGTTAGTATTATGTTTTACTTAAACACCTACGAGAAAAAAATAGATTTATGTTGTAGTATTAGCATTGTAATCAGAACTTCTATTTAATTAATTAAAAAGAGAAATATTTTTATTTTTAAAAGCAGATAATCAGAAAACAAAATCCTATTTCCTTCCTAAAGAGCCTCTCCTTTTTCCAACCAAGATGAAAAACACAGAGGAAAATGTTACCAAATTGATCTTAGGGCTGCTGGCTGAAATCAAGCCCAAGAAGTCATATATATAAAATGGCTTAATTAAATCTTAATTGCAATGGGGGACAGCTAAGTGCTTAATTCTGGTTGGATTGTAACCCAGTCTTGACTTTCCCCTTACCACAGTGCCTAGCTATACACATATGTGTAACTATATCATCTATCTATATATTTATATATCTCTACCCCCTATCTCTAGGGGGTATCTATCTATCTATCTATCTATCTATCTATCTATCTATCTATCTATCTATCTATCTATCCATCCATCCATCCATCCATCCATCCATCCATCCATCCATCCCCCATTGCAATTAAGATTCAAGCTTGACTGTTTCGATGCATGTATACTTGGAAATAAATCCTACAAAATTCAGTAGGAATTAATCTTAGTAAACATGCAGGGCCTGGTTGGGTTATGTCTGGACTTTTCACCTTCATATTGGCCAATATTGCAGGTGTTGACTATGCCTCACTTCGGAGATATGAGTTCAGTGACTAGTTCCAGAGCAGCTGTAGAAAGGTGAGGCAATATGACACATGGAATTACTTATACATGACTCTAATCAGGTGTTTTGTTTGAATGGGATTATTTTAGTATATACTACTAGCTTTACAATTTACTGCTTCAGTGACTAACTGTTAGTACATAAAGAAACAAGGGAGGAAGATTACTACATTCCTGTTTCCTGACATTCAGCATGAGAGAGGGAAATTCTAATGTGATCAACTGGCTCCCGTTTACCATTTCCCTCTTCCTAACAATCTACTGCCATGTTCCTAGCCATAGTATTTTGCATCCTTCTCCTGCAGTCACTTACACTGTCTTCCTCAGTAGTCATCCAATTGTTCCTTCTACCTGGATCCATAATAATCCTAGTATCCACAGTTATGGACTCATACAGGCAGTACTGCTCCTTTGCTTATCCAGGCTCTTTTGGACTGAAGTGGTAGGTCTCTGTGGTGATCTATTTCTACTCTCCAGGAATTGCATTTTAAATCTATGCATATTCCATCTATATTGTCATATCCTTTGTCTAAGACAGCTTTTTTCAACAAGGTGTTGGACTACAAGTCCCATAATCCCAAACCAATATGTTATTTCTTAAACCCAATGCTGTGTTGCCTGTGTTGCCAGTACCTATGTTGCAGTACTGTATTGCTACCTAAGGAGAACCAAATGGGACTCCATAAACTCCAGCTTTGGTTTACTTAAGTAATTATAATACAATCCCATGTATGAATATTCAGAGTGTGTGCTCACTTGGTGGCATTTACTTCTAAGGCAATATGTTTAGCCCTGCCATCTTAAACTGGTTTCAAGCAGAAGACAGGTTATCAGGTGAAGGATGAAAACATCCTAAGGACCAATAGAGAGCAACATCTGCAACAATGACACCATGCAATTACATACTTGTGTCACAGCATCTGATATAATATATAAATCATGGCATTTATGTTATGAACACACTTCATTGTTTACTTCCTTTTTGCCTAGGCCACTAGATGGCAGCAAAGTGTTTTCTATGGACCTGTGCTGCCATCTAATGGCTATCTATATCCTTGCAGCAGTTATCTGAAACCCCTAAGTTAATTGTTTATTTCTTAGATTTATGCTCCATCTTTTCTCAGGAATACAAGATAGTATACAGTACACTTTATACTCCAGTTTTTCCACACAACAACTCAGTGAGGTAGGTGGGCTGACAGAGAGTGACTGAACCAAAGTCACTCAGTGAGCTTCAGTGCTGAGGGCAGACTTGAACTTACTTCTTAACCACTATACCATATTGGCCATATTTTCATTTTAGTGGCTGAGTTCTCTTGTCTTTAATAAAACTAAACTTACTGTCTTAAAGATATTAAGTTAGATTTAAGCAAAATTGTTTGCTTTAGTTCCCACTGAAATAAATGGACTTTTAGACTATCTTGTCACAGTACAAGATTCTGTATGTGTCTGCTCAGAAGTAATTTCCAAAGTGGCACTTGTTCCCTTGTAAGGTATAGACTCAGTGTAAATTGAACTCATTCTAATCTAACATTAATTTAATCTAATGAAGAATTTCAGCAAAGCCAATTATGGCAATGGTTGCAAATTGAATGAGGTGGTATTTACTGCTAAGTCAAAGATGTGCAACTTTGTGGGGAACAGATGGCCATAACCATCCTTTCAGTAGTATGTTGATGGCCGTGCTCCAGAAAGTGTGGAGCAGGACTAGAGCAAAACAAAATTAAATTTCATTTCATTTACACTTAAAGTTATTCAGAATGTAATCTATAATTACCCTCTGATTGCTGGTTTATGCCCATTCCTGATATCAGCTAAATTTGTGAGTTTTGGAATTACATTCAGATTAAGTAGGGGTTTTTTTTCTTTAGAACTGAAATACCAACTGATATTGATATTGATGATCATCCAGGCATTTGGGGGTTTTATTTGGCTAAGCAATGGATTTAAAAAAAAAAAAAAGTTTCTACAAACTCCAGAATACAAGGATACTTTGACATAATAAACTGTAAAGTGTTTCTGAATAAATATTTCTAAACACAATATACAGAAAGTCTCACTGAACTAAAAGATATTCACAGGCATATCACCGGTGAAGTTGCAAGATATAAGTTTACGTGTTACTTATCTGGCACTGACTACAATGGATGACTTGCTTATTTAAATGCTGGCATACTAGTGTAAATTTCAGAGTGATATTTTTTTATTGTTCCAGCTTAGATACAAATGCCTAAGGGAAAAAAAGGGGCATTAGAATTCCATTCTTTACTTTTAAGAAGGTATCATTCATTTCAGAGATACACAATTCCCCCCCCCCCAACTTAACATGAGAGAAGGAAAGCATCTCCCAAAGTCAAAAGAACTGAAGTTCAGTTTTCCTTTTATGCCTTGAGAACTGGGTGCTTCAAAATAAAAAAGTCAACTGCCTGTCCAACCCAGTGTCGATTTCCAGATGTGCTGTACTGCAACTCCCATTCCGCTGGCTGACAGAGATGGGACTTGTAGTACAATACTCCTGCAGGTGCTCCACGTTGGGGAACGGCTGATTTGAAGGACCCATTCATTTCAATATTACACAGTCCCACGTGGACGTTTGATCTCAGCAGAATGGGTCGTCGGCAGCAAACGAAGCCCCGGCCGCTACGCCTCCCGTCCCCGCAGGTGGGGCAACGTAGGTGTGCGGGGGAGTGGGGTGAAGCGGCGGCTGAAAGGGCAAGAGGGCAGGGGATTAGGGTAGCCTTTCTCCCGCTCTTCTGCCCCTCGCTCCACTCCAGCCTCTCTCGGCCCCTCGTCCCAATTCAAGCCTAAAGCCGTTCACGAAGGTCCAGGCTGGCCAGACATTTCTGTTCTCCTAACTGCAGACAAAAACAAGACCAGAGACGGTTTGGTGGGCGTAAGAGCTGCGTCCCCTCTTTTGCAGCTAAACCGACTCCAAGCGGAACATCTCAACCCAGAGGCTTCGCCTTAGCAGCTACGGGAAGAGCTTATTTGCTTCGCTATCTTTCTGCAAAATAAAAAGACGCTGCTCCTCACCTCGCGCCTCTCCCGGGCTCGCAAGACTAAACCGCCGACGGGGAGGCACCAAACCTCGGCTCAAAGGAACGCGCGCCTCGGTCCAGCACCCCCACCGGAGAACC